AGAAATTTTTCACTGTGAAGGTGGTGAGGCACTGGCCCAGGTTGCCCAGAGAAGCTGTGGCTGTCCCATCCCTGGAGGTGTTCAAGGCCAGCTTGGACGGGGCTTGGAGCAACCTGGGCTGGTGGGCGGTGTCCCTGCCCAGGGCAGGGGGGTTGGAACTGGACGATCTTCAAGGTCCTTTCCAACCTAAACCATTCTATGATTCTCTGAAATACCCCTGCACCTTGCAAAACGGACACTGCCCAAACCCAACACGGCCCTTCTGGGCATCTTTTTGTACACACAAATTTTGGCAGGGTAAGAATGCAGACTCTGAGACTTTTTTTTTCCTCCCCTTTAAAACAACATATGTAATGTTGTTGCAAAGTGATGGATGGAGGGCAGGAAGGCCACATCCTCAGTCCATCACTGCGACAGCCGATGTGGCACAGTCTGCAGCAGAGGATGTTCCTCACGGAGCCCATGGCTCCCTCATTAGATGGGACTAACTGCAGGTTTGTTATTAATTATTAACTTTTTTGTTACATCCGTACACGATGGGAAGGGAAATCCCTGCCACGAAGGATATTGTGTAAGCGGCATGGATAGACCTGTACCTGGGTGTGAGGAAGGAGAGAGGAAAAGTCATAGACTCAACGAATAGCCCAGGCTGGAAGGGACCTGGAAAGATTATCTTTTTTCAACATTGCTTATTTCTATTCTGGGGATGGAGAAACCAAGAGGCTTCAACAATCCACCCAAAGCCACAGAGCCTTAGCTCCAGCCCTCCCAACTTCTTAAACACAAGCTCAGCTTTTTCTCCACCCAGATCCAGCATTGGAGAACAGGGATTCTCAACTCTCTGTTCCCAAAAAACGTGATCAAGTCCACCTTGGTGGGAGGTTTCCTGGATAACCTGCAGTGTCTGCTCAAACTCATCCCATTTCAGCAAGACCCCGACTATCATGAGACAGTTTAGCATCATTATAGCGACGTTATCGTCCTTGTGACTGAAACTGGTACCCAAAATAGCTGAGTAGGGAGCAAAGGTGGCGTTAGTGCCCTCTGAACTACTCAGCATCCGACAGCGGCAGGGGCCGGCCCCGCTTGGGGACACTGGCCAGCCCTGAGAGGTGACAACTGGTGACTAAAATGGATGGGTCTGATATAAGTCTTCAGAATAATTCAATTACTCCAGCGCATGTTTATTCCGCAAACATAATCTGTGCTGATTCACATATACAGGACTACTGCTAGATAAAAAGGTCTTCTATGTGGGCTTTAAAAGACATCCCTGCCTTCCCTCGCTGTTTCATGTGAAATTTCCTCGCATTAATTTTAATGGCCTTTTAATTTTCTATGCGGTTTTGACATTTGTATAAGAAATGTATGTTAAAAGAGACTGTGGCTGAAATTTTGTCTATGCCTTTTTAACATTTCCCATGCAATAACTTCAAAGAATATTGTCTCCGCTGAAAAACTTGTAGGAAAAAAAAAAAAAAAAGCCAACAAAACCCCACACCAAACCCCAAAACTGGAATCGCTTCTGGTGCAATTGCTTTAATGCAGTACTGATGGTAGTTTTTGCTGCTATTTGTCTCAGCGAGAAAATTCAGGTACAACCAGTCAGCAATAAAATGATCCAAGAAATAATATAAATGCTTCCCCACCGTAATGACAAAAAATGAAATTCTGAAATGAGAAAGGGACTGATTTCTGAGGTCAGATGCACCAGCCCCTAATGGGAAAGTAATTCCGAAAGTATCTAGGCAGGTGTGGATCTCAGTGACCAAAGTCATCCAAGTCTCCTAAGACAAGGTGGAGAGCTTCTCCCTGCTGCAAAATGCCCCGCTCACTCTGTAAATCCCCGGCAAATCTCGGTATTTATTTCAGAATTCCCATTTTGAGGACGTGGGGATGGGGAGCATGGCTCCTCCTGGTTGCTCCCCACCTTGGGGACAATCATGAGGGGACAGGGATGTGCTCCTTGCAGTACAGCGCAGGAGGAGGGAGACATATGGGGACACAGCTGGGCTCCTCTTAAGTAGGTATAGTAATAATTTCCAACCTCAGAAGGCTACAGTAATTAATTATTCCTTATAAAGCCCTTAAAGATGCTCGGGTAGAAGTTGAGATGTCAGTGCAGTCTGAATTGATTTCACTGGAAGGGAGATGATAAGAGGCAACTTTACGAGGCTGGAGTGTTGCCGTCATGTTTCTTTGGGGCACACCAACACGTTTTCCTACTCATCTTCTCTTTCACCGACTAATACACACGTCGTGGAGACACGGATTTATTAGGAAACCGGTTTTTAATTCAAAAGGGCTGCAAAAAGAAGTGAGCTGGTGCCGCAGCAGGGAACAGCTTTCAAAGCTCGGACGGACAATTCCAATCCTCCTTGGGAGAATAGATGCGGTTCTTTATTCTCTACACCCAAGCTGCTTTAACAGCAACTTGAGGAGCCAAAATAATAACTCACAAAGTCTCCACATGTGGTATGAAAAGATTAGACATGGCTTAAGCAGGCAGGGATTTAAATCCAGACTGATAATACTGTAGTGAAATTATATACCATAAAGGCAGAGAAAAAGGGGGTTGTAGTTTACTAAAAAAAAAAAAAAAAAAAGGGGGTGGTGGTGGTGGTGTTAATTTGGGGACAAAACCCTTCATATAAATCCAGCCCATACATTCTGAATGATTATTTCAAAAAGCTGGAACTTGTTCTGTTGATCTTTTAAACTGATTACTGTGTGAATGTATGCACTTTTAGAAACAGGCAGTGACAGACATGAATTTCAGATGTCCTTTTTCATCAGCTTTTTCTTCTTTAACAATGCCGGATTGCATAATACTTCTGGTATTTTCAAATAATGTGGAAATTCAATTTATGGGCAGCCATGTAATTTATTGTACAATAGTTACAGCATGTTCTAAAAGACAGCCGCAGAGAAGCTGACTGCCTCCCAGGACCAGAGAGACGGGTTGCAAAATGATAAAATAATTTGGTCGCCAGGAAAAAGCGAAAAGAAAAAAAAAAAAGAAAAAGGAAAGCAATATTTTCTCCACGCTTAAACTTGACGCTTCAGAGAAATCCTGAATTTATTAAAATAGGAAAGATATTCCCAATGTCTACGCTGCATGTGAAACCGGAGCCGGGAACTGCGCGGTGGCAGCTTCAGATGGTAACAGCAGGGGGTAGCACTGCACGTGAAACCGGAGCCGGGAACTGCTTCAGATGGTAACAGCAGGGGGTAGCGGTGCCTGCTTTTCACTGGGGAAGGCATTTTCTGGCTTGAAATGTTGCTTTACCTCCATAAATATATATATAAAAACTACAAACATATTCAGAAACGTGTGTACACGCATTTCTACGCAGAGATAAACTACCAAGAGATAAACGATGCTGATGGTCAGCTGCTTAATACCTCCCTTTCAAAAGGTTCCGATTCATAAAGTGACTTTCAAGAATTATTTCCCCAAAAAAAGGGCTGGGAAACAACCTTGCTTGCGTTTGCACGGGGCGGTTGAGTAACCGCAAGTAAGTGCAATAAGTGGCAGAGCAATCTCAGAGCAGGAATCGAAGATGTATCGAAAACGTGGGGACATCCAGAAAAAACACCAGAGCGCTACGTGTCTCAGCTGATATTTCACAAACATCACTATTCTTGGGGGTCTGGGAAGCGATGACAGGAAGTAAAATTCACCGTTTGTGATAAACAAAGCTACAGACACAAAACCGCAGAATAATCTGAGTTGAAAGGTTCCTTCTCCCCTTGTTCACGACATCCCTCGCCTGCTCAGGGGACGGCGCACGTCCTCCCGCTGGCCCCGATGGACACCTTTCCTGGGGCTCAGCTGAGCTGTGAAAGGAATGGAACGGTTCAAAAGCCACCTAAAGCCACCTCCGGGGGCTCGACTTAGCACAGGATTTGCTTTCCACACTCCTCCTTCTCCTCCCCTCGCACCGTGGAGAGCTGTTCCCACCTCCTCTACCTTCTCCCATCAAGAAAACACATTTCGGGGGTTACCGGCACGGCTGTTACCTTCACACGATGAGGGGTTTTCAGACAAATATTGCTTTTCAGTTAAATTTCTGTACACGGAAGCGTGTGACAATGTAACACAGTTTCTGTGCTTCTGGTAAGCGTTACATTTCCCACCTTATTACAGAGGGGGAGTGTATTCTGGCTTAGTGATGGAGCATCAAAGCAGCTCAGCATCCCACCATCACCCCTCTGGCTCACCAAAGCAGTCCAGTGCCCACCAGTACGAGACACAGCACCCATTCTCCGTGCTAAGAACTAGATACCGGTCCCATTTTTACGGCCAACTCTTCCAAATCATTAATTTTTCCATAGAAGAGCTCAAATAGGGTTTCAATCCTCTCTCTGCAATGGTCCTTCTTCCAAGCGAAGTAAAATAGCAATAGGACAAACTCAACCAGAAAAAGTTTCTCTTCTTGCCAGAGACCAGACACGTGCCAACACTTACAATAAAATGAGACATACAGAAAAAGTGTCTACTGAAAGGTTCCACCTGCTCCAAAGATTTACAAAACACACTCACACTGACTGCTAAACAGTAATTAAGAGGAAAGATTTGGTTTTAAACCCCAGTAAGCCAAAATGTGTACTCCAGTGGAAAGCTTTTTCTATCTGTCAGTAAGTTTATCATGTTTCCTAGCGAAAAATACACCACCTGACGTACCATAGCACAGCTTTTGGTGTCACTTACGCTGTCACGTAATAGACGGGATGCGCGACTATCAAAGTCACGCCACAAACTCACAATATGCTGCTGTTGAGCAGCTCGATGCTCTGCCAGAAACAGTGCGAACTAAGGGAAGGTTTCCTTTACTAATTTTGCTTATTTTCTAATAAATATTCTCATATTTATTTTACTGGGCCATGTTTTCTAAGAGGAACTCTAGGAAAACCTTAAAGCAACGGCCCGTGAGCGCGGCAGAGCTGCGGTTGGCGGCTCTGGCTCGCGCCAAGACACCGATCCTGCGCGTACTCACGCTCCGGCTGCGTGGCAACCTTGACGGGCTGCGAGCTCTCTCCTGGGCCCCACTCGTTGTACGCCACCACTCGGAAGGTGTAGGTCTCCTCCGGCTTCAGGTTGCCCACGGTCAGTTGAAGCGTCCCAGATTGAGACGTGTTGACTGCCCGTTCCCTAAAAAAACAAAAGCAAAAACAAAAAGAAAACCATTTTAAAATTCATTTGGATCTTCAAGCATTACTTAGTTATGCAACTGGCAGCTTGCACGGTATGATTATTTATCAAACTTCAGTTTGAGGTTTGTTCATTTACAGGTTTTTTTTATTATTTTTACTTTTAAAAGCCTAATTCAAGTAATGGGGCCCACTGGGAACACTGCAAGCACTCCAAAAAAGACCTGTATTTTAACATTTCAAACGGCATACGGTATATCGGTTCTTTGCTTTTCTTAATATAACAAAAAAGGAAAATTGATGGAAAGAAATGGCTATTCAGTACAGGAAAACATCCCTGATATAGAAGTGAGATGTATATGGGACTGTAAACACCCAGCTGGTGGGAACTGAGTTTGGATCGCTCTGCAAACTCACCCCTTGTCCGGGTCCCTGCTACATCTGCACCTCCAAACCACCACTACCACCACCACCAAACCACCACTACCGCCACCCCCCACTGTTCCACAGGCACAGGGACCACCCAGAATTTTTTTCTAAGATGGCGCTACCGCTCACCGTTTTGCAGCTCTAAAATGAAAACCCATTTCGGGAGTTCATACTACGTTCCCCCCTTGGCCAACGGAGCACCCAGGCAGTTCAGGGGCAGAACTTTCTCCTAATGCGGGATGACGGTCGGACACCACCCCACGGACGTGACCTTGGCCATCGGCTGTTGGGAAACATCAACTCGCTATCGCCTGCAGCAGCCAGGTTTCTCTTTCTCTCCAACTCAACCTACAGTTTGTTATCACTAAGCCCTGGAAAGGGATGCTATTGATGCTCCTCCACCAGCCGCTCCCAGTGACGAGTTCTGGTGGTCACCAGAGCGAAGGTACAGCCCAGACATTAGAAGGTGGCAGCCCCTGGCCAGGGTGACACACAGGACATCATCCTCCTGTCAGGGCAAGAGCTATATAAATTTTTCCGGGCACCATAAGCACCCAGAGCCAAAGGCGGTGGGCTAAAGGGGTGAGAGATAACAATCGGTGAGGAAAATACGGACCTAAAGTCATTAACACGGGATTGTCCGGGAAAAATGCAACCCCTAAACAGCAAAGCAGGGTTTAAATTGGATGAAATCACAGACATTTCATGGACAATCTGCAAAAAGAAGTAGGTAAAATTGCTTTTGTAACTGATTTATTATGGGTGGCATGCCTCGCTCCTCTCCTTTACTAGAAGACCTCTGAACAGCGAAAAACAACAATAATGTAGATTTCATGCCGCCGAAAAAAAAAAAAAAAATTAAGATCCAATCGACTAATTGCCACCCTTTTTGTAGCTCTGCTGTGGTTCTCTGGGCTGCAACAGGCACAGCAGCAATTCAGAGAATGGAGATTATTGTTCCTTCGGGGAACGTTTCCTCAAAATGAAATTTCTCAGGCCAAAGAATGGTCCCACCATCCGAGCGCCAGGCTCCACCATCGCTCCAACCCTCGGAGGACTGACGGAAGAAAGCTCTGGTGAACATTCCCAAGGGAAAACGGTCGGATCGCCTCTTAGCAGAGACAACAGGAGTTTAACGTCTCTCTTGCTAAGTTGCTAAGCCACTATCCATCGTCCTTCAGGAGTTGTGACAGGTCGGTGAAGTTGCCACTGACTGCAAAAGGGGAAACATAACCCCCATCTTTAAAAAGGGGAAAAAAAAGAAGCCCTGGGGAACTACAGGCCGGTCAGTCTCACCTCTGTGCTCACCCAGATCATGGAGCAGATCCTCCTGGAAGCTATGCAAAGGCACATGGAAAACGAGGAGGTGATCGGGGACAGCCTTCGCTAACGGCAAATGGTGTCTGACAAATTTGGTGGCCTTCTACGACAGGGTTAAAGCACTGATGGATAAGGGAAGAGCAGGTGACATCATCTACCTGGACTTGTGCAAAGCATTTGACATTGTCCTGAGAGACATCCTCCAAGACATTGGAGAGACATGAATTTGAGCGATGGACCACTCAATGGATAATGAATTGGCTGGATGATCGCACTCAAAGAGTTGCAGTCAACAGTTCCACATCCAAGTGGAGACCAGTGAGAAGTGGTGTTCCTCAGGGGTCGGCTTTGGCACCAGCGCGTTCCCTCCATGCACTTTGAGAAAGCACTGAGTGAAGTAAACCATTATATGTTTTACTTCCCATAGTGCGGGTCTTCTAGAGATCAGATCTAGAGTATCTTCCAAATGCAACACCAGAAGCCCGTAGGGCCGTGCAAGACCTTGTAACTTAAAGAAAAGAAGAAATGGCCTGTATTAAAAAAGAGTTCCAGATTAACCCAAGCCGGAATAATCAAACAAACTCAATAATCAAGCAAACACCTCAGGATTGAGATTAGGAGGAATAAAGCAAAAGAACGGGCTGAGGTTTCCCTCCGGGCAGGCTGGGACGCGAGAACAGCCAACAGCCCACACCCAGCCCCATCTCACAACCTGGCAGCGGCCAGATAACAAAGATTTGGAGGAATAAGGGAACCAGGATAGAAATATCTGGTTATTCTCCTGGTGTAGGACAGAAGTCTCTGGTTATTCTGTGTCACAGAGCTCCTGCTCACATGTTTCTGGAATTTGGGCACCCAGGTGATCACAGACACTCAAATGGGTCCATTGCCTTCCAGCTGTCAAATCTCCACTGATTCTGGTTTCTGTGATATCCCGTGGAAACATATTTATGACTCGTGAGAAAAAACTATCCCTTTTGTTTAAACAAGCCGCCTGCCAATGTCCCGTCGGGCAGCGGCGTCTTCTTCGACACCGTGAAACCTCCAGCTACCAAAGTGAAAAAACCTCCTTCTGAATACAACCACCCTACACTTGTCTTTGTAAAACAGATACCTAAACCACGTCAGATGGATGCTGGAAAACCTGTGGCTGCCTTTTCTCCCTCGAGCTCCAGCGACCTGCCCCACTGCCACACGCTCATGTTGAAGGTAGGTGAGATGAGCGTCACCAATGTCCAAAAGTCCATCGTGCGCTCCTGCTTACCAGCCAGGGGGTAATGCGCCACAGATGCTACAGCAATGCGGGAATCATCTAAAAAAGCACCAAACAGCCTTGAATTGGGCACCTTTACGTTTGGGGTTGTCTTTTTCAATCCCATCTTGGCCATAAATTACAGTCTAAAAATAAAAGACCTTGACTAAAGTCATCCACTTTCTTGTAAAACAGAGGCTTCGACATGTAATTTCCAGTGACTGAAGATCATGTTACATTGCGGTATCAGCATGTAAAAAGAAAAAGATAATTACAGTTCCCATATATCTCTTAGGTGTGTAACAAATGCTTTTATAATGTTTCAAACACCTAATTAGTTACTTCAAGTAAGACAAGTCATGTTAATGCTCCTTGCTGTGAAATGAGTACTATTAATTTTAAAATGGACGGACTTTTACTACCTCGAGTTCTTCTTTTATCTCCCATTATCGTTCTCCCACAAAATATCATAAAGTCCTTGATTATAACAAGCAAACCTCGAAACTAATGTAAATAGATCATCTGGGAATGATATTTTTGAACTTCAGCTGAATTCTGAAGATAGACTTTAATCAAATAGAAGGTTTTGTGTTCAATTAAGTGGTCCCTTGATTAATTTCTCCAGTCTGCAACGTGCAGGAAGCCAAACTGGGAGATCTGTGAGCTTTTTTGTGAGTATCTATGCATTTATTAATTTGTTATTGGAAACAAGTTCTAGTGAACGTTCGACTTAAAATAAAAATAGTCTTGATCTTGCAAAAGAGTCCTTCGTCAAAGGGTTTTACGTTCAGCTGATGTCCAAGGTAATTTTCTTCTTTTAAGAAAAAATTTAAATAAATAAAAAAATCAGGAAAATAAAAATAGTCTCGATCTTGCAAAAGAGTCAAAGGATTTTACGTTCAGCTGATGTCCAGGGTAATTTTCTTCTTTTAATAAAAAATTTAAATAAATAAAAAAATCAGAGCACTTCATTTCATTTCTTGGGAAAAATGTTTGCTAACAGTCAGTTAAAACCCAAGGATAGCTACAAATCGGGACCCACTACTTAAGCCAACTCGACATCTCAACGGTGGCAATCAAAACCTGAGCTGTATTTCGGGGGTTTGTGCCTCATCTAAAATGCTAAACAGAAAATAGATTACCATATAAATATTTCTCATTATTTATAAATAGGGAATTTTTTATTGTCAATTAAATTTTAAATGCAGCGATGTAAATTCTCGCCGGGAAGGCAGAATTCATTTAGAACTATGCACAGGTAATTAACGATGCCTTGGGATTACATTTGAGGAGGTATTTTTTCAGTTTAGATCAAGAGCAAATCAGTAAAAATAAACAACGTCTCTTTTTTTTTGCGCTGACTTATACGCTACCGCATAAATATCAAATGCCTTTGTGAATCAACGCTTGCTCGTTGAGAAGCAGACCGACGGGGACGGATGAGAAGAGGCAATGAAGAGCGAGGCCGACAGCAAATCGGAACGTCAAAATCCCATCAAAATCGGAACCCGCCCGTGGACTGAAATATTGAATCCGCCCCATTTTGCAAACGCTCCAAACAAAACAAAAAAAATCACCGCTCTAAAACAGTTTGTAATTGAATGTGGGCGGCGTCCCGACACAAATGCTGTTGGTTGGGAAGAGGTTTAAAGATGGAGATGGACCAGACGCTTCTCACCTGAAGACCACCCTCTAGCTAAAAAAAAAATAATAAAATAATAAATTAATTAAAATTAAAGTTTCAAGTGGACGTGAGAGATGCTGGAGAGGCAGCAGCACCTCTGCCCTCACAGCACCCAAGGACAGCCCCGTTCCCAGCAGTAAAATGGGAAACAAATCAAAACGGTGGATATTTACCCACTGCATTGGCAAACTCCGCATTTTTAATCGTTCAGATGACCTTATTACTTGCATACAAAATAAGGGTTTATTCCGTGAGCTTATAACATCAAATGAAACCTAAACGAGCTCCTTTCTCTTCTGGAACATTTCTCCTGCGAGGCAGGATGGAGTTTTACGGTCTTTTTTTGTGTGTGTGTACATGTCTATAGCTTGAAGAGCGATACCCATCGAAATGCATGCATGATACTCTATCACTATATTCCACAATATTTTAACAGAAAATAAGGACAATCGAATGTATACTAAGAGTTCCGTCTCTGCTAACAGACCCTACACATGAAATCCTCTATTTCTGCTCATTTTTTCCAGCAATGGTCCCCTATTATCAGCAAATGTTCGGGAATATCTCCCTTTTATATCCAAATTTCTATCTCCACCGGAAACTCAGAGCGCGGGTATATCGCGTGGCTGTTTATTTCTTTCCTAATAGATTTAAGGGAAGTTTTATCCTTTTCCGAGAAACTCGCCTTTTACCTTGAAGTGCTCTTTCCAATCACCCTTAGCAGCGTTCAAAGCCGTTCCGTCCCAGGTGGGATGCGGAGCCGAGCCCGAAGATCAAAGAGCATCCCATCAGAAGGGCTACGGCAATAAGTGCAATCACTTCCCCAAAAGGGGCTTCTTTAAAAGGGCTGCGCTGAAAAACCTTTGTGAGAGAGTTCAAAACACGGGAGGGTTATTTTTTCCGGACGTTCCTTCAAGTGGCCGCGTGTCCTTTCTGTCCCATCGGCTGCGGTGACGCCACCAGCTGCCACGCAAATCCTCCCCGCTCTCCAATGCGGGAGGATCGCCTTCCTCCAGACGTACAGTAATTTCTCTGACAATTCCTTTGCATCCCCGGGGTTAATGTCAAATCCAATATTTATTTTCCTAAACAGAAAAACGGTTCTACTGTAAAAATAACGTGTAAACAATAAACAACTCAAAAAAAAAAAAAAATCCCACGGGAGCTTTTTAAGACTCAACGCAGCTGTGCGCAGCAGCTCCAATGTTTTTAAGACAGTTATAATAAACGAGATGTGATGTCAACAGTGCTCTCCGGCGTCGCCACATCACGGGCGCTTCATGTCCACGGACAAATCTCGAAGCACTTTCTAAACATGGGGAGATGAGAATCCCCACGCGCAGCACAGGACCCTGTTCCATTACGGCTGGTGGTGATGGCTGTAAGGACTCAGATGGGCAAAAATATGTGATTCAGCCCTGTGAACCCCCATTTGGTACCCAAACTGGGAGCGCCAAGGGAGCCGCTGGGCATCCTCACTTCCCACTGAACTCATTCAACCCTCTTTTCGCATCAGTTTCTTCGCTTGGGCCAATTAAATGTATTTCCTCAGTGCCTTACACAACCCTCAACGTGTCCCCCGACGTTCCTGACGCTCCAGCGAGGTGTTGTTCTCAGAGGGGTTTGTGAAGGCGAGATGTCCATGTCTAAGCTGTGAACCAAACCCAACAAACCCGGCTCCTACCCCGTGTTTTCACCGCAAACCCTCCCCTCCTGCCTCTGTGCCGTGGATCCCCCAAGTGACGCCCTGCTGCAGAAGACGCTTGCCTCCAGCACCGGCCTCAGAAACGCCAACTTGAATTTAAGAGCTTCGTTTTACAGAGGGAAGAGC